TGAATCAAATATGTTTAATGTAATGGCCACAGGGTTGCTATGTATTTCCATGCTCCCTGTGGTATCGTCTTGTAGTTGTCTGTTTTGTAAAATTTTATGAGAATATAAAAAAAAAAAAAAAAAAAAAAAAAAAACGTAAGGCAGTAGTCAAGTGTTCCTTTCAGGTAACGGAATATTCTCTTAACTCCTTGCCAATGATCTAAAGAAGGGTTTGACATGAACTGACTCAGAGCTCCTACAGCAAAACATATGTCTGGTCTTGATGCAATCATGGCATAGTTTAATGATCCGATTGCTGCTTGATATTCTTTCTTGTCAAACGCTTTTTCACCATCAGATAGCTTCGTGTATACCTTTCCAGGTTCCATTGGTGTAGAGACTGGCTTACAGTCAGTCATACCAAATCTTTTAAGGACGTTCTCTAGATATGCCTTCTGATTTACAAAGAGAGTTCTATTTTCTCGACTGCGCTCAATAAGCATTCCTAAACATTGCATCGCAGGTCCCATATCTTGCATTTCAAATCTTTGTGATAACATCTGCTTCTCCTTCACAAGCAATTGGCTATCATTGGAAGCAATCAGGATATCATCAACGTATAATGAAAGAATCACAAATGATACCTGATTTCCATTGCTGGACACCACTTTTGTGTATATGCATGAATCTGCATTGCTCTGCTTGTACTCAGAATCCTTTAGAAATCTATCGATTTCCATATTCCAGCATCTAGCCGACTGTTTCAGGCCATACAAACTTTTCTTTAACTTGCAAAACTTTCCTTCTGCGCCCTCTTTAACGCATCCAGCGGGCTGTGCCATGTAAATATCTTCCTCGAGTATGCCGTTTAAGAAAGCAGTCTTAACATCCATTTGGTGAAGCTCGAGATCTAATGTGTTGGCAACAGCTAGAACTACTCGAATTGAGTTATACCTCGCAACAGGTGCAAACACTTCATTGTAGTCAGTTCCTTCTTCTTGGGAGAAACCCTGAGCCACTAGGCGTGCTTTGAATCGATTGAAGCTACCATCTGCATTCCTCTTGATCTTAAAAATCCATTTGCAGCCAACAACATTCTTGTCAGGTGGTAAATCAACTAGCTCCCAAGTGTTGTTCTTGGTTAATGATTCATATTCACTGTCAATGGCGTCCTTCCACTGTGTTGCGAATTTACTGTTCAATGCTTCTTGTAGACTTTCAGGCTCTTCTCTGTCCTGCACTGCAATACTTGCACAGTCCAAATCTTCATGTTGCCACCATTCACCCGTTATACTTCCTAATCTTTCAGGAGCAACTCTGTTTCTTTGAGGTCTTTGATGCAGTTCTTCTGGTACAGCATTTTCTTCTTCTTGATTCTCTGCAAGTTCTTCATTATCTTTACTCTTGTTGGCATCTTGTACGGCCTTGAAATGCAAAGCATCAGACGATAAATCTTTCTTGTCAGTAGTTAACAGTTCTGTTAATCCCTTTTCATTGTCAAACAGTTTGTGTTCGAAGGAATTCTCCAGAAATATGACATCACGACTTCTTATCATCTGCTTTGTTTCAGGATTGTACAACTTGTATCCTTTACAGCCAAAAGGGTAACCAACAAAGATACAATGCATAGACTTTTTGTCCAGTTTGCTTCTTTTTTGGTCTGGCACATGGACAAAAGCATTACAGCCAAATACTTTGAAATGGCTTACATCAGGTTTCTCATCATACCAGCACTCATGTGGTGTTTTCTCTTTCAAACATGATGTTGGGCTTCTGTTTCTGATGTAATTTGCTGTAGACACAGCCTCTGCCCAAAAACTCAATGGAAGATTACCATGATGTAGCATTGACCTTACAGTTTCTATGATTGTTCGGTTCATGCGTTCAGCAACGCCATTCTGCTGTGGTGTGTAGGGAACCGTGACTTCGTGCAGTATTCCACGACTTTTGCAATATTCAGCAAATTCTTCTGAAATGTATTCGCCTCCATTATCTGATCTAAGCTTCTTTACTTGTTTTCCAATCAGTCTTTCAGATGACTCAACAAATTCTTTAAATTTATCCAGTACTTCACTCTTCTTCTTTAGCATGTACACAGTAGTGTAGTGAGTACAGTCTTCTATGAAGGTGACAAAATACCTTGAACCTCCCACTGAAGTGACATTCATGGGACCACACACATCACTGTGTATGAGTTCTAAAGGCTGAGTATTCTTCTGTGAACAGTTCTTTGAAAATGGTTGGCGACTTTGTTTCCCATAGGCACAGCCTTCACATTTTCTATCAGTTTGCTCATTTGGTTTCCAGCTCAGCCCATCTACCATAGATTTGTTGTGCAGCAGCTTCAGGTTGTCATAACCAAGGTGTCCATAGCGATAATGCCAAAGTGCATTGTCATCATTTGCAACAGTTGATCCAAAACAGCATGATTGCTCGGGATCTACATTCAATTTATACAGTTTTCCATGCTTGTGGCCAATACTGCAATATACATTGCCATTGATGATTATCTTGCAATGTTGACCTTTGAACTGCACTTTGTCAGTGATAGAAGGCAAAGATAGCAAGTTTTTCTGTATTTTTGGTACGTAAAGTACATCTTTCAGGGTTGCATTCACCTTGTCTTTGCCATCATACAAAACAAGCTGCAATTCCCCTTTTCCATAAGCAAAAATTACAGTATCATCAGCAAGCTTCACTTCTATTGGTTTCTTGAATGGTGTATATCCATACATCCCCTTTTTAACAGGGGTCATGTGCTGTGATGCCCCCGAGTCTATCCACCAGTCATCTTTATCTGATGGAGTATTACCCACAGCTAACGCAATCTCAGTTGCTGTTTCTTCATTTACCTTGCCATTTTCTTGTTTTGTTTCTGCCATACTTGCTGTTACGTTCTTGGGGTTATTTTTTGCATCAGCTTTCTTTTTAAAGCAATCCCTGGCAAAGTGTCCGGGCTTTTTGCAATAATGGCATTGAAATTTCTTGCAATTATTTATTTTCTTGTATTCTGTTAATTTCTTTGTAAATAATGCATCTTGGCACGCCTCAGCTTTTGGAGTACTCACTGTCCCTTCACTTCCGCCCTGCATTTTATCATATTCGTGAATTAATCTGTCACGAACATAGTTCCAACTCAATTTCTCTTCAGCAATTGTTTCTAGAGCAGTGATCAAATAATTGTATTCCTCAGGTAGACTGCTTATTAAAATGATAACCAAATCTTTTTCAGCTATTTCGTCATCCACTGCTTCCAAATGCTCGGCAAGTGTTTTAATATAATTTATATGGTCGATCATTTTCGCTCCTTTTCCCATTCGTGCAGAATATAGCTTCCTGCGGTAGAATATTTTTTGTGATAGCGATTTTCGTTCAAAATGTTGTTCAAGATTGTCCCAAGCTTCTTTAGCATTCTTAGCAGATCGAACATAAATTTGTAAACTTGTTTCAACAGACAGGCACACTGTCGCGAGGGCCACATTTTCCCTCTTTCGAAATCTCCTTTGCTGTTCAGGATTTGCTGCGGCATTCAGGGTTTCTTCTCCCGTAACTAATTCCCATAAATCTTTTCCGATAAGGTACATTTTCATCTGGAACTTCCAGCTATGATAGTTCTCTCCATTCAGTTTTTCAACTTTAAAACCTTAAAAATATTACTTCCAACTTTAAAAATATGCCTATATGCATAAATTTAAAAAATAGAACGGTTCTTACATGAACTGGTTTCAAAACACCTGCTCAAATTTGGCAAAATCACATAATAGGGTAAAAGCAATCTTTTGGTGGTAAAAAAATTGAAAATGGTTTTGAAAAAAGCAAACATTCTGGGTACATTTTATGCAACCCAGAATCAGAGATTAGGTCCAGTTTCTACTGTCAGGAACACACATGATATAAATTGGACCAACTGGCTGAGCCCGCCGGGGATCAAGCGCAAACACCCAGCACGCCAGATCGATAGTTCCCAGTCAAACCACAGACATATGGTCCTCGTCCTCTTTGCTTGAGTTATTAAGAAGCATCGCAACCAAGTTGTCCGTGCTGGGAAAAGGTTATAACGTGGGCTACAGTGGCGGCGCCAGCCACAATGCTAAAGGGGAGGGATATAAAAACGTATCCAGTGGTTCTTATGCTCCCTTTTTAAATGTTTGCTTCAGGCTTAAAGATTTTACTGATTACAAGGAGCAAGCAAGATTAATCAGTCTCATGGAATGATAATATAGAACAGCAGCCCTTGATTCCCTGTAGCCACTCGTTTGTATACAGCTATCAATTCTGTAGGCAAATGGAGTTCTAAAATAGGGATGGTGGTGCAAAACCGTGTACTTTCACGTTCCTAATTGTAGAGGGGGGGGGGTAAACTCCTCTTTTCAGAAATTATGCATACCCATTTCCATTTATTAACACCCACTAATTATGTATTTATACATAATTTCGGAAAATCTAAGCATCTCAATCTATTATGGCTCCCCCCATTTTAGGGTTTCTTTTAAAAAAAGCCAACCCCTTCCTTATTAGACCCCCCTTACAATTAAGAACTTGAGAGTAGGGGCACGTTTAAATATGGGTATGCAAAGTTTGTACATACAAAAAGAGGGGTAAGGAATGAAATTTTGTACATACAAAGTTTGAACATATATAACTGCTCAACATGCTTGTTACGCTGTAGGAATTCTCGATTGCTAATTTCTTATACCCGTTTCTTAAAGAAATCTCAAGACTCCCACAATATTCAATTTTAGCATTTTTTCACCTACAGCGTATATTGAAGACCTTCCCCAAGGTCCTCGGAATTCTAGAAAAACACATGTTGAGAAGAAGTTCGAGGTTGGGTTTGAACGAAAAAGCTATGAGAGAGAGCGCAGTCGAGAGTAGGACGCAATTGAAGTATAAGCGCAAAGGGACATGTAATCTCGTTATGTTTTAGCTGTGATATAATGAAAAGAGTTAAAGGGCGTTTTGTACTGAACTCTGTACGTGAAAATGGCGCCATGAAAGGAGTTACCCAAGAGTTCACTTACATTTTGATATCGACTTTGAAATGACCAGAATACGACCCTTCGAACCAGTTTCCCATCCATGCATTGACGAGTGTTGCCCATTGGATGACCAGAGCAGCAATGAATAGATTGTAACCAACAGAGCCATAGCCATATTTCCTCAAAAACGTCATCAGGAAGCCGAAACCAACGAATATCATCACATGGATATCCTGGAACACTGAAATAATAAAATTACAAATAGCGTTATAAGGGGGTCTTCAGGGAGGGAGTGAAATCTGCTGCTCTGGTCGTTTATGACCAAAGTTCCATGGCCCAAAATAATTGATAAATGCTAATGACTAGAAGAACCAAGATGGGACCAGGTCGTTTTTTACAAGACAACAAATGAAGAATTCTACGAATTCGTATGAATTTTAAATCTAAAAATTCCGTATTTCGTGTATCATTTTTGAGAAAATCCGCGTCAGGCAAGAGTGGGAAATTCCATCGAGAAGAGCCAGAATTTCGTAATCCGCGAAAAATTTTCTTAAAATTTCGTTTGTGATGTTGTTCGTGGCGTGATTTGAGGTTATGCGGTAGAAATTAAAACACCGTAAATCCTCAAATTGCCCCCCCCCCTTCGTAAAAGCCCCCCCTTCGAATAAGCACCCACCCTAGAACTACAAATTGTCAATAAGCCCCCACTGCTATCGTGAATCCTCGAATTGGAACACCTCAATTTGATGATTTTTGCCATCTGAGGTTGCCTTTAGCGTTTTATTGAATTACCACAATAATTCATACTTTGGTAAAGAAATTCATACAAAAATAAACGAGGTCTTTTAAAAATGTCTTCTAAGATCCCCCCCCCCTCGAATAAGCCCCCATCCAAAGATATCAAAAAATTAATAATCCCCCATCAAAAAGTATCAAAAATAAATAAGTCCCCAGGATGCTAATTCGAGGATTTGCGGTATTCTAAAAATAGATTTTGATGATGTCACACTTTGGTACACTTTATGGGTGTAAGGTAAGAAACTTAGGCACGTTAACATATTTAACTGCAAAAAGACATTGGACGGGTATAGTGCAGGAAGATATAACCTTGAAAAAAAATTGTTATAATCCTTTCATTTTTGTTTTTTTTCTGATAAGCTTCATTATGGATCCCCGTCAATAATTTCACACTTGGCACACGCTTGAGCTACGAATTTCGTTGAATTATTCAAGTACACTGAGACAATTAATGCACGACAGGGGGTATTCTGTGTATTAGGTAGAATGTAGTCAAAGATAGAAGATAAAATTGAAAACAAACAAAACCGTAAGTTATTCGTAGAGAACACCAAAAGCAGGTCGTTCTTCGCTGCTTGTTTGCAAGGTTTGACAGTCTAAATTTTTGCTCAACAAAACATCTTACTTTGGTGGACCGCAAACGGAGATCATGCGTCTATGTCTTTCAATGAACACAAAGAACATTTAAAAAGGAGATTCCACTGTACTTCTAAGAATACCTCTTCCTCCGAAATGTCATTGAGAAGACACAGAGTTGTTCAATGACGACGTCATAGGAATAGGTTTTCCTTTTTTAAGGATTTTTGAATTTGGACCAACTTGCCAGGAAGAGCATTTGGTACAAATTCAACGTGACAGAACTTGTTTCCAAGGCTTAACATGATGAATGTCCTTTAGTTTCTCTGTTTTACACCTTGTAAACGGGATTAATTCTAGCACATTGAAATTTTGTCGGTAACGTCAAGTGTATTTTTATAAAATAGTCTCTCTGGTCTCTTTGCCTCACCTGCAATCAAAGAGTGGTGAAGTACTTTGTCTGCAGCTCAACATAGACACCGGAGCACGGGGGCGCGGTGGGAGACGGCTGCCTTGCCTCTTGCCCTCGCAAACTTGAACAGTATTCTTTATGTTTCTATTATTTTCCTTTTTTATTTGGCGCTTCGCCCCTCACCCATGTTCCGAAGCTCTTCCTGCATCTGCAGCACGCGGTGGTGCCCTTTTAGTGACCCCCCCCCCTTAACTAATGCAATGTTATTCTATGCATTACTTTCCTGTCTGCCTTGACAAAAAAGTTCGCTGCTATTTTATCAATCGACTATCCCTTTGAAATCGGATGCTTGTTTCTTCGTGACCCCCTGTCTCGTTGCTTTGAATTGATGAAGTTAATGGGCAACAAGACAAATCACTTATTGAAATCACTGATTGAAATCACTGACTGCGTAGTATTCTTCAAATAACAGTCAGGACCGTTACTCAGAATATTTTCCAATATTGCTTTGAAACATTACACCACAATGTTCAATACACCTACCTAGTATCCAGGCTTTCCCCTGAAAAGGCTGACCAAAGTAAAGACAAATTACTGGCGGACGAGACGAGAAATTGGCACTTACTTGGATAGAAATATGGGATGCTGTTTCCACTACCGCTCACACGACTGTTGATGGTGGGGTCCTCGTATGGTGCATAGCTACCAAATGCTGCAAACAAGATGAGCAGGATAATCTGAGTAATAAAGAGAAGCAGGGAGAAACGCTTTCCCTTATATGCAGCTATCCTGGCGTCCATGTCTTAAATGTTCTCGAAGATCCACTGCAATCTTGCAAAGTCTGGAGCGCGCCACTTGCACATATGACAATACGCTGACAAGACACCACTTCGTTTGCTGAATACACAAGATAACTTGTGTCACAGACGGGGGCAACACTACCGCAAGCAAATAGCCTGCTTGCAGATTCCGTTGACAAAGACTCTGTTGACAAAGTACTGTATTATATCAGAGCCAGGTGGTTGTATAGTAGGGTGTGGAGAAACATAGGGCGTTGCCAAATGGCCGTTGAGCTCATTATTTTTCCAAATAGATTCATGGACAAAAATATCATTTAAATCTAAATACAGCATTTATTCCAAGCAATACCCTTAAAATACAAATGATGGATGAATAACGAAAAGATTGGTTTCATTCTACCTTATTCAAAATTCATAATATCAATATCGGCGAGAGTTTATCTCTTTTTTCAATGGCACTCTCCAGAAAAAGTTGATTCAAATCTTTTCGCGAGCAGTCTAACATATTTAATGTTTAGTGCGTCTTCGACATAACGATATGCAGTTCGGCGAGGCAGGGGTTGATTCAGAGCAAATTTGAAGGAGGGACTTTTGGAAGTAGGGGTGCTGAAAAATTATCAGAAATTAGTGACGAGTTTACGCTGTATACAACAATTTCAGACCCTCACTACTGACAGAAGGCTCTCTATTCACTTTGTAAGGAAATTTTCAAAATAATTGTTGCATACTTTGAGGTAATCATTGAAGTTAATTAACCTATAAGTCTCAGAAACTTTTTCACGTAATTCTTATTCTTCAAAAGGGGCGCAAAGATTCCAAAAAGGGCCGCCAGACTTGCTTCAACTCTGTGAGGGAGGGGCAACTGCCGCCCCCCTTAAATCTGCCTTAGGCCATCGACACAATGAAAATAAATTGCTGTGTTTTTATGCGTCTTTTCTCCAGCGATATGAAAACTAACTAACTACAATACAGGACGTATAAACATAAAATGAGGGTACACTACAAAAGTGTTGTTGATTACATTACTGTGGATACGTAGACAATAGAAGGCAGGGCCGTAAATCCCGGGGGGGACGGGGGGACTGGACCCCCCCCCCCAAAAAATCTGGAGCAAAATGATTTTTTTGATAAATTATCAACATTTTCTCTGAAAGAAGCAAATCTCTGGTTAACGCAGTTTGAGCCAAACTACGTTTTTCTTTGTTATTGCAGCAAAACTCAGCTACTAAGTCATGGTGTCAAGTGCAAGTTGACTTATGCTGATAGCCGTTATTTTTGTAAGCATAGGGGTTTTTATCTGTTTTTTACCGTTTTATTTTTGAAAACAGAATATGAAATAAAAAGAAAGCAAACTGATATTTTATTTGACCTACTACCAACTTATTTACGCATATTTCTATTATTTGTTTGTTATTTGCTTTTATTTAGTAAATCACTTTCTGTATCATTAGAATGTATTCATTTTTGACGTGTATACATGGCCAACTTAAAACACTCAAAAATAAGGAAGACGCACATTTCTGTTGTCACACACCGAGACTTAAGTTATCCTAACAGTAGTCCTTAAAGACTAAAGGTATAACCAAGATAGCACAAACACAGAAAGTTCACGTACTTCTTTGAGCCACTTCAACTCATCCTCCTATTCAAACTTTACATGCTGTATATATACTTTAAAGCAAGATGATCTATATTTAGAAAATAATGAGCAAGTTTCATTAACGACATGAAATACGTAAAAAGTACGACGTGAAAACATGGGAAAGGAAGGGAAGGGCTGAATAGGTATGCTAAAACAAGCTTAATGACGCTAAACTAAATAAAAACATACGTAAATGATACCTGTGATACAAGGAAAACGAAATAAACAACGATGACTAAACTAGGCATTACGATCTAACAATCCTGGGAAAATCCCGCACCTGTAAACAAAACAAAGAGAGGGGATGTGACGCAGACTTGCTTACGTGCGTGCCAGGGGTAGCCTACGATAATGATATGCAAAACAGAAGATCCTAAAATGAATGGGTCTACGGGGAAAATGTAAGCAAGCTGTGAAGACGGGCCTAAGGGGGTAAAAGGAACGTACAAAGGAGGGTTCGTGACACACCTCCCTCCTAAGATTAATTATATTACCGAGGGTAAAATACCGTATTAATCCTATCTAATTATCAAAAAAAATTACGTATAGTCCAGTTTATTTCTTCGCATTGAAATCTTCTAGAAGTTTGTCTGGAACGAAGTCTGCAGCAATCCATTGAGTGTGTCCATCGTTAAATTCTACAAAATACCTTGTAACGAGTCTCTGTCCCGGTATTCTTGAGCGCAACTTGTCGTGGACCCTTACAATTTGATCCGGTTTTCCATCAATCTCTCGTGCTGGCTTGACCTGTTCAATGTGAACTCTTTTGATTTTATCCCTTTTCTTCCCGGGCATTAGGAGTTCTACATTGTTGCTACCTATCACTTTTGTCACTTCATATGGTCCTGTCCATGGTTGATGGAATTTCTTTGACGTCCCTTTTTTAACAATAAAATTTCGAAGCCATACCTTTTCTCCTTGTTTGACATTGAGTTGCTTAATATGCTTGTCATGATTTTTCTTCTGGCGGCGTTGTTCGTCTGATACCAACTCTTTGGCGACTGCATATGCACGCTGGCGTTCGTTCTGCATTGTCTTCAGGAAATCGTCTGTGTAAAGGCGTGTCGGGGGCTTCATGTCGGCAGGCGAATTCAACTCTCTTCCAAACATCATGAACGCAGGGGTATGGTGGGTGACAGAGTGCGGTGTTGTCCTATAGGCGAAGGTCACAGCATCGAGGTACTGATCCCAAGTGGATGGCTTGTCAGAGGCATAGATTCGTATTGCATTGAAAAGTGTCCCGTTCAAGCGCTCATTTAGGCCGTTGGTAGAGGGTCGAAATGCACAGGTGTAGATCTTCTTGACTCCTAACTGCTTGCATAATGCCTTCAATAATTCTGACGTGAATTGACTTCCTCTGTCTGGAAGTAGCTCTTCGGGACATCCATAGGTATGTATAAAACTGCTGACTTTTCGTGCAACCGTCTCTGCTTCCGTGTCTTCTACAGCGTAAGCAATTGGCCAACGTGTGAAATGATCCACCATGACGAGGGCATATGTGTTTCCTTGTTCTGACATTGGCAGTGGTCCTACAAAATCCATTGCGACTATCTGCAGTGGCCTTTCTGTAACAATCGATTTCATCGGCGTTTTATGAGCTGGTTTTGACGACGCTCCGAATCTGGCGCATTCCTCACAATGTCTTACATGGCGATTGATGTCAGTCTTCATGGTAGGCCAAAAATAGGATTGCTGGATCTTCTTATATGTCCTGTAAAACCCTGGATGTGCTGAAATAGGTATATCATGGGAGTTCACGAGCAACTTACCAACCATTGATTTTGGTACCACAAATTGTTCCTGTGTTCTCCCTCGTTTTGACTTGAATCTTCGATAAACACATCCATCGTCTCCCAGAAAGAACGATTCCTTATCCCTTTCCAGTTTAGCAGCAAGTTTCATATCATCAGGTGCTTTCCCTTGTTTCAAGAGTCTCATCAGTGCCCCAGCGTACGTATCATTTTCTTGTAGCGTTTTGAAGTCTGTTACCAGCATGACGTCATCTTCTTCCTTCAAGGGGCAGGGGGATACAGGGCTTTCCACTGCTTTGGCTTCCCGGCTGTCTTCTCCCGCTAAAGGGTACCTCGACCAAAGATACTGGAATAGTGACTGGATAGGAAACTGCGCAGACAACAATAGGCGATTACGTTCATCTTCCAATCGCGTGTTTTGGAAAAGTTGTAGGGTATAGTCATTTCCGGTTTTAGTCTCACGACCAGGACATTCACCGAAAAAAGCAACATCCAAGAATGGATTTCACCTATTTTAATGGCCAAATCGACGAAGAATTACTTGAACTTGTTGTCGAGGTAATGTAGTCCGTTTCTTTGTGTACTTTAAAGGCGCTGCAGCCATTATCTCTGTCTCCGCGAATAAGAATTTAAGTCATGGCGATGTAGGCCCTTCTATCAAACTTCAATATTTCATTTTCTAACGAGTAATTGCAAGAATGCCGATTGAACATAATGTATGTTCGATGAACCAGGGATAATGCTAGTGAAAATGTTGA